TTTCATTGACAGTCGACGAATTTTTTTTGTAGCAACGTACGACTGATTACTTCATTTTTAATTTCTGACTAATAGTTCAGTGCATTTAGAGATTTTACTTTGAAAAAATGCAAATGGCTGAAAAATTGCCCAGTTATCATTCCTTTTTATTTTACAATACAGATAAATTTTTCGAATTTTACTGAGGGAATCTTGTAAAATTTATGCCTCTTCAAGTAATAAGACTTGACAGAGCAAAAAAATATAAAAAAAAGACGTCAATAACGGATTTCACTGAAATTGAATAAAAAGAACCTCGAATTGAAAGTACTTCATTAAAATCGACCATTTCCGATAAAATATAGCTCGACGCAAATCCTTCCTTATCTTCACTTATTCATCGCCCAAGTTGGTGGCTTTCTCATTCTTCCTACACACCATCCTGACGATTTCACGTTTGCCCACGTGCCTGTTGCCTTTCATTGTGGCCTTGGTGATAGGATGGTAGGTGTATGATACGTAAGCAGATACTCGAAGAGCTGTTATGAAGGAGAAAAATATGACTGATCAGGGTTTAAAAAACTGCAATGGGCGTCATACATGAAATCATTAAAGTTTCGAATCACGTATTTAAAAGATAGAAAGGTGTTTTACCCGAGTAATAAGATAGATTCCAGCATGGTTTCCCTGGGTGACTATATCGACCAGACATGAATGTGGATAACGAGGAAATTCCAACACGATCGGAAGCTAGTGGTACGAGGGGTCTCATGAGTTTGCCACGTAATTCAGGATATCAGGGAACATTCCGTGGGTGACCGATTATACATTATGTGTATCCCAGAAGATAGGGTGCAACAGGGAAAGTCGTGTGTAACTTCAACACAAGCAGCAAAGTTTGAAAAGAGTTACAAAGTATTTGCTCAAAGCTCCAAGTAATTTGTCTTTTGATTAATAAAGTTAGTCTGAGAATTACTACCATCAACTACACACCACTGAAAATTTAACTATAATAGTTTTGCCAGACTTAATTATTCATGTTTTTACTGTGCATTTGTATTCTTTGATGTTGAAATGCATACATGAAACGGTATAATTAAATAAATAAATCTGTAAAAATGAGTTAGAAAGATGAAAGGAAATTGTTTGCAAGAAATTAGACTATCCAGTGGGTTTTGTAATGCGAAACGAGATCTGGTGGAAAGAGAAAGACGGTTTGACATCGACGTTTCGTTTTACCTTCTGGTTCGTAAGCCCGGTAGGAGCTTGCGGCTAACCAATCTAACCACGGTTAATCAACCTGCTTCACTGAATATTTTCACCGGTAAATAGACTAGAAGCTGCGGAAGAACAGTGGAAATAGAGAGAAAATTTTACGAGGCACTTCGTATTTTCATTATCTATAATACCTATTTGCATGTTCTTTTGTTGATAGAAAATTTCATCATCGTTTTTATTAGATTTACACTGCTATTGTTATTACTTAAGAGCTTTGAAATATTTTTTATCGTCTTAAAATTGATTTTAATAAAATTATTCCAATGTTAGCAAACATTAACATCTAGGTGCAAATCTTTAGACTCTTGATACATAATCTTTTTTCATTCTCTATTCTGAAAAGGGTCTTGACATATAAAATCGAAGCATTAATAATTTATTATCAACTAAGGATAATTATTGATTGTATAAATTTGGTTGAGACTAATGTTATAATGCGGGCATTAAACCGTTATTAATATCATTAACTTACTCGTCGATAAATTTGTAGAGACATTTCAGTATTGACTGCAAGTGAAATCCATTAAATAGTGATAAAGATAAGAATGAATAAATACCCATTTATTTCTAGTCATTAAATTAAATTAATCCGATAAATTGAATTATCTCCAAACAGCACTACTTAGCATCTGTACGAGCAGATATATTCTATAAAGTAGACTTAGACTTAGACTTCATGGAAGAGCATGTTATACTTCACTTAAAATGATTTGAATTTCTGATTTTCAAATTCTACATCTTCTTAAATTATTTGATGATAAAAATTTGCTATTTTTATTAAAAACACTTGTTTTTTAGTCTCATGTTGTAATGAAGCATATCAGACGTCTTTTTTTATATAAATTCTTCACTGTCATTTTAATAAACCTTTATTTAACTGAATCAATTCTTAATAAATTAATGGCCGTGAGTACAAAGATTGAACGAAAAATTGGATGTGTAGTACGAAGACATTTACTTTAAGATTTATCATACAAATCAAACCGATGAAATTCAAGTAGAAATAATATTGGTTTCTGCGCCCAATATGTGTATATATTCTTACTCAGGAAGATCATCTCTACAACATACTCCATTTTCAACGAAATCGAAAGTGACGGAGTAATACTATATAATTACCCGATTTACTTAAGTTTGAAGTCTATGCTTTTATTAGTATCAACAGCTCAACAAATTGCTCTTGTGTGGGGAAAACCAAAGCAAAACGATTCTCTGGTCCAAGATGAATCCGAAAATCAAAAATTTTCTATTATACATAATATAATTTAAACTTTTGTATCTCCCTACATTAATGAAATTCTTACAAAGCCAGTTTTGTCTCGGTTTCTTTTAAACATAATTTTTTGCTCAGAGTTATTTATTTTAGTGTTTCTTCTATTATAGTAATGAATTAAATGGTATTGAACTTAAAAAAAATTTATTTATCCAATCTTCTTGTTCATCAAATGAAGTAATTAGTTTTTAGAACCTATCAAATTATTCTATTCAAACAATTTTTATTCATTGTTATCCAAAACTACGTGTTTATTTAAATAATCATTTTGATGTTGATGGATATTCGCCACATAATTGATCCCATGTTTCGTCGAATCGAATAAAAGGTTTTTTTATTAAGATTTTATTTAGCTCTTTCAATATATTAAATAATTTTCTTTTGAAAAAAAGCACAAAAAACCATTTAATAATCAAACTCTTAACATAATAACCAGGCTTTATTCAACAGGAAAATATTTTTCTTTCTACAAATAAGCGAAATGTATGTTTGTCTTCGACATTATTATTGTTCACGTTGATTATTTATCTATTTAATTCATTTTATAGCGTAAAGAAAAAATAGAAAAATTGGAGATATGGCGAACGGTATATAGGAAATATTGAACAGACGAAAAAAAAGAGAATTGCAGAGAGAATAGAATTGGTAGGATAGAATGGATGCGGGCGGGATGAGAAGCAACTGGAAAAATAGCGATGAGTCGAGACGAGTCTTTGCATTCATTTTGTGATATCGAACTCTCAGAGTAAAATACTTGTCGTTTTCTCATTCTGTCCCACGATAATTCGACTCTCGTTATTGGTTGAATTGGTTACGCTACTCTACAGCTTTCAATGTGTCAAGTCTACTATTCCAATCGTCCTTGAATTCTATATGAACCTAGAGGTCAATGTCATTTTAAAACTTGCTTCAAAATATAAGTGTGGAAAATCATTACCTTGTCAAATTGTCATGATTGAGTTAAGAATTTCATTTATACAATTCAATTTTCAATCGTTTCAGCAAATTGTCAATAAAAAAAAATGCAACGACATAGAAATATAAAACGATGTAAAACTACATTAAAACTCACGAATAAATGAGTTAAATGAGTGCAATAATATTCTGGATATTCCAACAGTTAACATTTATAAAATTATATCGGTCTATTGGTATTGGATAAAGGTATTGATCTGTAATAATTCAAGTGCAAATACGTATACAACTTTATTAGTCGAAGATTAAAGTGTAAATAGATGTACACGGAAAAAAAAGTGATGTAAAATCTACATGCGTAGGTGTAATTTTTATATCAAAAGTATAGTTAAAAAAAATGCAGTTAATTTTATTCTGGTTAAATGATGTTAAATCTACAATAGCATTTGCCGTAGAATTTACAATAATATTTTGCAGTATTTTTTACCACAGTTTTATGTTAGTTTGACATCAAATTTTTTACAAACATAACTATAGCATTTTACTAACCAGAAAAGATAATGAGTAATGTTTTGAATTATCATCAAATAATTGTAATTACGAGTCATTAAGAAAACTGAGGAAAACAGTTTACAACACTTTAACAATTTACTGGTCATGAATTTTATTTCAAAATAGAAAATTCCATTGACAATACAAATTTCATTACATGAAAATATTATAATGAATACCTAGTTGTAATCATCAATGAGCCATTTTTATTTATTAACAAACATTTTATTATATTTCCTAATGAAGAAATATTTACTAACTTGTTCTTAGTACAATTTTTGAAACTTTTCATTACTTTATACGCATGATAATGACTGTTAAACCCGAGTGTTGTATAATGATTGATACAGAAGTAAAATTTTCCATTAATTTGCAGAACGTTTACTATGATTCCAAATTCTGGTCCTTCCTGACTTAAGTCTACAACTATAATAGAATCTTTTTCAAATCTTTGACCCATAATTTCTATCCATTTTAGAGCTTTGACATTGGAATTAGTACCAAATACAGATTTTATATGATTATCAATGTTATAATTAGGTATAATTGGACCATTAATGTATTTTTGAATAATACAAGGATTATAATTTGTAAAACACATTTTTAATTGATGCCTTAAAGTCAAAGTTAATAATATATTTTTCATTGATCCGGATATATTTGCGGTAGATTTTAATTCATGATTTTTAGACTCAAATCTCATAGACCATAAATGCATTAGTGGTCCACATTTCAACATAATTGCAGGATAGTGAAGTTTTATATGAAATTTAAATTGTAGATGAGAAGCAAATTTTAAATACAAACTTAAAAACTCTTCAATCAATGTTTTAAACAATACAACATGACTTCTCAACACTCTAGGTGATGTTATTATATCAACTATTTGTCTTAATTTCAGATATAATTGCCAAACACAGTTATCCTCTTCTACAAATTCACCAACCATTAATCCAAAATAACGTACAAAAAAGAGCATTTCTGCAGCAGACATTTTAATTTGTATATGATCGGCTGATATAAATGGAGGCATATTTGAAAGTTCTAGTTTACCATAATTGAATGTATCGATTCTAGAATTTAGAGTGTCTAAAGAAAATCGATTCTCAACAAAAATTAAGTGATTTAAAACAATGACCATTGTATAATTTGCAGTGCCTTCCAACACATCGTGCATAATATCAACAGTCTGATTTATGCAAACATGGAAATCATCTATTTCATTAAAAATACATTTTTCTTTAATACCTGTCAGTGAATAATTGTTTATTTTTAGACTCTTTTCATATTTTTCTGGACTACGCAAAATCCTTACATTTTCAGTAGTTTGATTATTCATTTCAAGATAAGGAATTTCGCATATTCTACAGCAATAGTTTGCACTGAAGCATTCTACAAAACCGAATATTGAATGCAATCCCAAGTTGTCACCAATAATAGCTCCACATTCAAAATATATCTTAATATTTTCATTTTTAATAGATATTGTTATACCATTTTTTTTCAGATCATTTAATTCTTCAATTAATTTTGCAAATATTGCTCTATTGCCAAATTCTTTTCGGTCATTAGAATAGAATAAACAAACAAGAAAAATACTACTTAATCGTGAAGCATACTGCTTTGGAAGACATGGAATAGACATATATACAACACCTAATTTGTTGTTTCCTGCATGACTTCCTAAAGCATTACCGACCTCCAAATCATCGAAAAAAATAAAAAGTGGTAAAAAGAATTTAGTTCCATGATTTTTAGTCTTAGAACGCCAAAGATCACCTTGTATAAAATTAGATAAAATTTCTGGTTCATTTTTCAAATGCTCAACGTACTTTTTAGTTTTATCGTATAGTTCAGGTATACTAAAAATCGATTTTAATGTATTTTTTAAAGGAATATATTGTCCAAACACATCCTTTGGTTCTGAAACAATAATTCCATTGCGTTTAGATTCTACAATTCTTGAACCAATTTTATATTGAATAGGTAATACAAGAAATCCTTTGTCATAAAAATATTTTAATCTTCTATGCTCAGTTGAAAATATTTCAAAACAACTAATAGCAGAATTAAGTATACGTGGAATATCATTAATGACAACTTGTTCACATTTATTTATTAAATAATATTGAATTTGTTTTATTATATATGGAACGTAAAGTTTTCTAATAAATTTTGTCAATTCTTCAACGATGAACTGAACACAGTTTCGTGGTATCATTGAGTTGTTATACAATGATAACCAGAATTTACCCAAAAATGTTTCTAAATTAATAGAAAAATCATCAAATGTCATATTCATTTTGAATATGTAAAAATGAATGTGATAAATTATAATTTATAGTCTTTTAACATTTAATTTTTATATCTATTTAAATCACTTATAAGACGATTGACACATGTAAATGATGAAGTTTTTTTTGTAACTTCATAAATGTATTTTTCTAGAAATTCCCAAACGTGTTCACACTCTACTGAGTAAGTTGCATTCAATGCGTGTATGATTTTAAAACATGTGTCTATTGCTTTTAAGGGGGTAGGTAAAACATATCGCTGATCATTTATTACTACAAACGAACTTTCGATGTTATCTAATAGTCCAATGATGACTACAAAAGGCTGAAGAGTCAATTTATGCTGCTTGTAAATCCTAATTTTGCTTTCTATATATGGTTGTAGTTCATCAATAGTCTGTAGAAAAAAAAACAATAAAATTGAAACTGAAACTTGAATTGCAATGTTAAAAAAAATTACAACAGAGATTGTAATATTTTTTAATTCAAAAAATTCTGAAACACTTCGTTTTTGAAGGAGTTGAAATTCATAAAAATTTATTTACCTCTGCATGAAAAAGAAATGATTGCTTAATGTCAGTTATATTTGGTCTCCAATGTTTTCCTGATTTTTTAGATTTCTTGTTTATTGTACCCAATAGTAATGGAAGTAATTCAAGGGCAATAATCTCAATATTACCAAGATCTTTATAGAAAATATAGTCATGAAAATTACAATTAACGTTAATATTTAAGTCGTTAAGACAAATGAAGTTACCTGAATCGTTCGCCAATAATATATTATTAGTCTTGAGGTATTGCGATACTTGATAATCTTTTCGTTTCTTACTAATATTAATAATTTTTTTTGCAACCGATGGCCATTTTAGAATTAATTTATCAACTGCCTCTTTATGAATTTGTTTAAAATCTGATTCAAACTGTAACAGAAAATTTCATTTGCAAACCTTTGTATTTAATACATGCATCAATATATTATAATACTTTTATTCAGAGGAATTAACTATGAAATTTACCAATAAATAAGCAGATGGTGTCTTCAATACATTGAATGTATTAAAATACATATCAATTCGTTCTGTATGATAAGCCAATCTTTCTTTAAAACTTTCTTGCCATTTTAAAAGCACTTCACTAAATGGTTCTATATGATTTTTAAGCCATAATAATGAATCACTCAACGGTAAAATATCGTTTGTATTGCTTATTTCATCTATAATTTAAAAAAATAATCAATAGAGATATTAGAATAGTAAACAATTATTGAATGAATAAAATTAAAAAAAAGCTAATTTCATCATTTTTAAAAAACAAAAATATTGAATAGTGTAAGTTATTCGAATTTAAAAAATATTTACGTTGATCTATATTAGAATCAGAAGTAAGGATTTCTAATTCAAATAAAGTTCTTCTCAGATTGATATATTTATCATACAGAAGTCCTCTAGCACCAATAGGACCATTTGTGCCTTTTGTCCAGGGTGTATAATATAAGTCTTCTTCTTCATCAGGAAATAATTCTACTAGATCTTTTGTCAACTTTTTAAATCTCTCAGCTGTAATCCTAATTGAAAACAATTATAAAGAAAGTTAATTTTCAACTTCCCAAAACATAATTTAAAATATTCCATCAATAGCTACGTACTTGAATTTTTTACTGTTTTCTAATTCTGATTCAATGATTACACTAGTGAGTAACCGTCGGTTTATTGTGTTCTTAAGATTAAATTCTGCTAGAATAAGCCTTCCACGAAAACATTTTAATATAGGTTTAATTTCATTTTGAGAGTTTCCTAAATATTCATTGACACAGAAAAAAGTAAATAAATACATTTGAAAGGAAGAACTGGAAATCTTACTGGATGATGTTGAAGACAGAGGCATAATAGGAATTTTCGATGTTGGAAGATTTGAAGTTGGTGCAGTTTTTTTTTTTGGAATTGGAGAGATTGTTTTTTCATTAGAAATAGAATTGAGATTTGAAATAAAAACTTCATTAAGACCGCTGATAGTTGATTCAAGCAAAAGATTTGACTCTTCTAAACTATCATCATGATTTACATTATTATTGTTTTCAATTATATGAATACTTTCGTTATTAATAATAAAACACGATTTATTATATTTCGACATAAAATTGTTATATTCTTTTAAGAATTTATATCTTAATCCAATTTGTGGAATGAGTTCAACAATAAGGGCATCAGTTAAATTAGTAAAAACTTCTTTATCAACTATATTGACTGTAAAAGTAACAAAATTTGAGAATGAATATAAATTATATAGAGAATTGAGTTTAACCTAAAAAATTTTTTGAGTGAAACTATTAATTCCTCTGAACACTAATTATTATAAATAAATCAATTTTTCATATTTTAAATTTGAATAAAGAATACTATTGTTGAAATAGGTTTTTTTACTTACTGTTGAAATGATCAATTAAATTTTCTAGATTCCACTTTTTTAAAAGTTGTTTAACAAACTCATCCATTGTTACAAACTTAACACACAATTTATACACAAATATCACTTTAATGTTGACAATGGAACAGACAATTTTGATTTAATAACAATCTCATTTATGATCCATCACCTTCTCGGTTTTTACACAAAGATAATATTACACTATATTTTTATAATGTATTTTCACGAACAATATACGTTGTCGATAGAAAAATCCACGCTTGAGCAGCGACTAAATAATACGAAAATTTTTATTTTGCCACTAACAATGTGATCTGTATCTCTTTCTCAGAAAACTGAAGCTCAGGCGGCAAAGAATCACAACAAAACAATGAGTGAGACTCGCAGTAGCGACGCGTGTCTAGATATTCTAAAATTACTCGAAACAGTTGATCAACTCTATTATTGCGATTTATTTAATTCTAGCGTTACTCAAAACAGTTACATAGATGGCGCTAGAATTTATAAATTCAAAAAATTTAAATAATTGATCGGTAAATTATCGATCAATAAATCAATGAAAAAAATGTTTGTTTTTTTCGTATTTTTAATTATAAATTCAATTATCAAAAAATGAAATCATTTTTATTTATTCATTAACTAATTTAATTATCTTTTATATCTTATCGCAATTTTTAGTTCAATTAACAACAAATAATAAAGTAATCCGAACCTAATTATCACGTTAATTCTATTGCAGTTTGTTGTAAATCGTACCGCAGGCAAAAAAAGTTTTTTTACTGCACTTTTTATGTGAATTTTACTTCACCTTTTTTTTCCGTGTAGGAAATATAAAGAGTGAGAATGAAATAAATCAAAACACGTTTGGAGAAAAAAGGAATAAATGATATCAATTGTTGTAACTAACGAGCTTTTTATCCTCCTATCGTTAAAATATGAATTTAAATTGCACCTTATACATCAGCGATTTCTATGAAACTTGTTACCGTTACATATTCGTCTGTTATAACAGAAAATCAATATTCATTATTACAGGTTACTAGAAGATTGTGAGCAGCATAAAATTTACATAATAAACTGTAATTTATTTCGAATAAATTATACTTTCGTACAGATTAAGAAGTTTTTTCGATTGATTCGTGTCAATTAAAGATTAAAAATGAAACAACAGTCAGATATTCAATTTAGAACTGTAAATAATAACCTTAAAAGAGCATGGAATGCATTTCAGTTCCCGTAAAAATAAAAAATTTTTGAATCCACCTTCTTCAGAGGGGGACTACCCACCGAGTAGCACTAGAAAATTAACGAGCAGACGATAAAAAGCTGTGTACTAAAAACGAAACATTTCAGTACAGTATACCTAAAGGTGCAACGAGTGCATTTTACAATCGCAACGACGACATACATAAAGTTTGTGTACGAAAGGAAAGTTTGGATCCTCTGACATGGATCCTCGTAAATTCATGAGGCTCAGACCATGTATACGACTCGGCTATAGTTAGGCTACCCCTTTAGTATATATATATATATATATATATATTTTATTTAATGTTGTTGATTTTTTTAGAAACAGACACTATATGAATCTACTGTAAAGAAACTCCGAGCACGTTGTGAGTGTATTCATAAATATGTTGGAATGTTACAGCGACGAGGTGCATGCTAATGACAAATTTTTTCTGAAATTTTCAGTAAGTTTAGCTTGTTTTAAATAGTTTATACGAAATGTAGGTTCAAAGAAAAAATAATTGACTAAATGACTTCTGTCATATGAGCAGAATTAATATGGGAAAATGATATTTAATTATCGAGAAACTACATGCATTGATAGGATTTACTTAGCAGAGATAAATACGTTTATTAAATTATTTCCCAGCATTTGTTTGATATAAATAAACATTTTTGTAACCACAAAAACATTTCATAATGATAAATACACTAAAAAAAGGGTTTTTGTAGGACCGGAAAAGTTTTCTTTAGCTCAGCCGGTATTCTGATTAGGGAAATACGCATCCTTACCAGCAGTAAAGTGGCTCTGTATAGTCGGACTGAGAAGAGAGTTCCTCATGTGCTCTTGTACGCTTGCGCAGTTTCTGTGTAGCGCTAAAACACTAGTTTTGTGATATGACTAAAACTTACTCATGATACTACAGTAAAAAGTCTGTTTACCGTTTACAGAGACGTCCGAATATCTCGATTTGGTAATATAATAAGCTATAAAAAATTATTTTATCGTCGTCCTGCGAGTTCAACAACGGATTTGGACAATCGTTTATTTTATTACACTCATATTCATAATAATTTAGTTATGTTCAATTTTTATATTATGTAAGAATATCTATTGAAATATTTTTTAGAAAAAATGAAGTGAATAAATTAATTGCCCTTAAATTGCTGAATTAACACTTATTATTCTCCTATTTCGCTGTTTAATTATAATTTTTGAAAACTAAATAGATCAAAAAACTGTAATAATTCTCAAATGTTGAAACTGAAAAAATGCCTAATCCAAGAGGGTCATAGAGGTTTTTGCAGAAGAAGTAATTTAGAGGCTAATCTTATCATTTTTTTAAATCAATATATTTTACAAATTTTGAATGACTATTTGTATAGAGAATAGTTGCGCACATCGAGGTTATGTTACCCTTTTTACCCCCTATAAAAAAACTTTGTTTTTTTACTATACAAAAAAGTTTTGTGAATACCTGTAAACTGCGGTTTTGTCAATAAGCTAAAACCACTTTTGTGGTAGTAGGGAAAAATTTTCTGGTCCTACTGAAACTGTTTTTTCAGTGTAGAGTTATGTTGTACATAATGCATATTTTCTAGACTCAAAAAAGATTTATTTAATAATCAAACGAATTTCTAGAAGTGAAGTTTGATCATAATTTTGCGAGCAGCTTCATTCAACGCGATTTACTAATTTTTACATATTGTAGTACGCTTCTATGCATTACTTGCACAGTTTTTTTAAAGAATAGTTACCAAAATAGAAACTCCCTAAGTTTAGAAGATTTAGGGAATTTTAAAAAATTGAAGAAAATTCTGGAAGATCGTTTTGGCTCTCTCAATTTTCGAGAGCTTATTTTAGTCGTTTTCAGGCTAGAAAACAGTCTGAAAATGAAAATTTAACAAACTTTTTAAATGATTTAGATAGGCTTGTCAAATTTGCATATCCTTCGGTTTCTTTCGAGGAGAGAGATAGAATAGCTGGTTTGCAATTCATTTCTGGATTAAAAAAATCGGAGTTACAATTTTCTCTTCGTTCGGAGAGAATTGAGTCTCTTCAATTAGCAACTCAGAGAGCTTCAGAGCTTGAGTCGATTGAAGATTTGACTTCTGGAGGTCATAATTAAAACAATTTTAACAATAATTTCAAAAAAGATAAAATTTATAATGATAATAATAATCATTGCAATTCTGCTGAAGGAAATTTGAAATCTTTTAATAATCAAAATCCTTTTCATGGATCTAGATGTTAGATTTGTGGAATAGAAAGTCATTCTAAGAAGAATTGTGAGATTTTTTTGGCTGTTAAATCGAGTGTAACAGAAAATATTTAGATTGGGTTTGAAATTCTTTTAGATTAAATTCGGAGATTTGATTCAATTTTTCTAGTAAGTGAAGGAAATCGCCTAAAGTTTTAGTTATTTTTGGAAGGTCTTCATGCATCTGAAATCTACTTAAAGATATTGTATTTCGAATTTCAGAAAATCTTGAATGGTCGTTTTTAAGTGATTGAATGATTAGGCTCGATCCGTATGATGATAATGAATCATTGTTGACTCTTTCTGGATTCATAATTTCTGTTGAATTCAGGGTTTTTAAAACTTCCAGTCTGAGAACGTTGGCTCTCATTGATCATTTGATTGTTGAATTAAATTCACAATCTCTGTCCTGGAGCGTTCTCGTGGAGTTACTGTAGGATATAAACGATTGGAGTCATTGTACCGGAATCCTTTTCTTCATTTATTAGCCAAAGTAAAGCAAAGTGAGGTACTAGATGTCCTTACGTAATTATCGATGTGATTCGTGTAAAGGAATTAAGAAATAAGCATGTTTTAGATCCAGACATGCCATAAAACAAGCATTAGTTATTAACTCGGATGCTGTTCGATAGTCTTCCACATTAAAATGTAATGTCTTAACAAATCCATTCAATTTTTTCAAATTTAAAATAAATCTTTTTTCTTCGTTAGATTTTGGTACCAAGAAAATGCCTGATAAAAAATCATCCTCTTCAGGCTTACATTTTGAGATGGCTCTAATTTTTAACAAATCACTGATAGACCTGTTGAAGTCAATTCACTTTGAAGAGACTGAAAGTCTTTTAAGACTAACTGGAGAGGTCACAAAAGGAATTTTAAAGCTTGTAAATCTCTTTTCCAAACTCTATGTCTTCTTTAGAAGAATCACCTAAAATACTAAGTATATCTTCATCCAATGGATCGCCAGAACCGTTCTCCACCATATTTGTTATTTCCTGTCACCGCTGATGATTGCAATTCTACAGATGGCGCCACCACAGAATGATGCTCTATTATTACTTCTTTTTTAGCTACAGATGTCGTTATTGGATGTTGGAGATTCAAAATCTCCTCTGGACCGTTAGGTGGGGCCGCCGACCAAAGCGGATAAAACTGGTACTACGGGAGACTGAATTCCAAGCCCGCATTCGGAGCTGCAAAATCGAAAAACGATATGCAGAGAGCCGGGTGCTTTCGGTCAATTGAGGTTGGACTCGTAGTGGTATATTGTAAGGCCTTGGGCTAGATGCGTGTATCATTGTGCCTTTCTAAAGGCGCAAGAATACCACGTCCGAAGGAACGCCGTCACTAGAAGTAAAGTCGTCCTCAGAGTGATGCCCTATGAGC